CACTGTGAAGACGAAGCCGGCGAGCATGCTGAAAATGCACGTTTCACGAAAGGAATAAAAAATGTGTGCCTCTTGAAGGTCTGGGGCCCTCCTGGGGCGCTCTTGGGCGTCTTCGAGGCCTCTTGAAGCTTTCTTGACCATCTGAACGGCCCGCGTGGCCTGTCGTGGGCAATTTGGAAGCGGCCCGGGGCAGTCCCGGGGGGTCTGCGACCCCCCAAAGGTTCCGGTGGCGCCCATGGGGGATGATGGCACCGGCCCGGGCCCCCACCCCGGCCTACTCATATATATATATATATATATATATATACACACGCATCTATATACATATCTATCTCTATAAACATACATACACACATACATACATACATACATACATACATACATACATACATACATACATACATACATACATACATATATACATACATCCATACATACATACATACATACATACATACATACATACATACATGCATGCATACATGCATGCATGCATGCATGCATGCATACAAACATACACACATACACGAATGCATGCATGTATGCATGCATACACACATACATACCTATACACATACATGCATACATACATACATGCATGCATGCATGCATGCATGCATGCATGCATGCATGCATGCATACATACATGCATACATACATACATGCATGCATGCATGCATACATACATACATACATACCGATATACGTACACACATACATACATACAGGCAGACATACATACAGACAAACGGACATACACACAATTCATATATAGGTGTGTAGTATACACACATATATGTACACATATCTGTGCACACATATATATATATATATATATATATATATATACATATGTATGTGTGTACATAGCCACTTGATACATAGGTGCAAATGGAGAAAGATGCAGGTGGAGAGATAAAACAAAACGGACAAAACAGAATGAGGGAGACAGAGGGAGAGAAAGAGAGAGAGAGAGAGACAGAGAGAGAGAGAGAGAGACCGTCCCCTCACAGCGGATGATAGGACGGCCTTGCGTGGGAGCGTGTGCGAGCCCGGTGTCCCCAGGAACGGAAGATGGGTTGGCTAGCCAAGCTGATGCTGGAACGCTGGAACGGCAAACAACTGAAGTGGATACCTCTTCGCGGGAACCGGCGCAAAGCAAAATGATCCCGGCGAAACACATAACCATACGCAGTTGTGAGTAACGCAATTGTTGGTATCGCTTTCGGTGGAGCTTCTTATGGGGCACGAAACGTGTGAGGGGTGTGCCAACATGGGCGCGGTGGTGTCATGCGAGCGCACCCAGTGGGGATTTCGGTAGAGCTCCCTTGGAAGTCACGAAACGTGTGAGCGGTGTGCCCAAATAGGTGCGGTGGCGTCATGCGAACGCAGCCACTGGGGCTTCAGGTGCAGCTCCCCATGGGGCCACGAAACGTATGAGGGGTATGCCGCAATGGATGCGGTCGGTGCTGTCATGCGAGCGCAGCTACTGGGGCCTTCGGTGGAGCTCCATATGGGGCCACGAAACGTGTGAACAGTGTGCCGAAATTGGTGCGGCGATGCCATGCGATCGCACCCACTAGGACTTTCGGTGGAGTTCCCTATGGGGCCACGAAGCGTGTGAGTGGTGTGCCGACAAGGGTGCGGTGGCGTCACGCGAGCGCGGCCACTGGGGCCTTCGGTGGAGTTCCCACTGGGGCCACGAAACGTGTGAGGGGTGTGCCAACATGGGCGCGGTGGTGTCATGCGAGCGCAGCCACTGGGGATTTCGGTTGAGCTCCCTTTGGAGCCACGAAATGTGTGAGGGGTGTGCCGAAATGGGTGCGGTGCTGTCATGCGAACGCAGCCATTGGGGCCTTCGGTGGAGCTCCCCGTGGGGCCACGAAGCGTGTGAAGGGTGTGCCGACAGGAGTGCGGTGGTGTCATGCGAGCGCAGCCACTGGGGCCTGCGGTGGACCTCCCGATGGAGCCACGAAGCGTGTGAGGGGCGTGCTAAAATAGGTTCGGTGGTGTCATGCGAGCGCAGCCACTTGGGGCCTTCGGTGGAGCTCCCTTTGGGGCCACGAAGCGTGTGAGGGTGTGCCGAAATTGGTGCGGTGGTGCCATACGAACGCAGCCATAGGGGCCTTCGGTGGAAATCCCACTGGGGCTACGAAACGTGTGAGGGGTGCGCCGAAATGGGTGGCGATGATGGTGACGATGATGGCGGTGATGACGGCGACGATTATGATGATGACGATGGTGCTGATGATGGCAGTGATGGTGATGCTGACGGCGATGATGGTGACGGCACGCGGAGAGCAGAGGTAGGAATGAGGAGGGAGGCGGAGGAGGAAGGCCGATGAAGAGAAGAGGGGTGCTGTCTATTCAAAACGAAGACCCAACACCGCATGGGGAAGAGGGGTGGGGATGAAACCCACGCACACATATACGCACATTCACCCACATATAAACACACACGATGCCAGAGCCACAACTACAACACGCACAGACGCGAGCACATACAAATGTGCTTGTCGCGCGCAGCGGACGCACAAGCGGAACAGTTAGATCGGCGCGCGCGCGCAAGCGAATTTGCGCCGATGGGATGCATTAGCAGTGGAGGCGCATTAGCACAAGCTGCATTCGCACGTGCGATGACCGTGTCCAAACTACGTGCAATCGCGCCTGCGATGGCCTCACGTGCATGCGCTGCGGGCGGGCATCCAACAGGCGCCAGCATTAAAAGATAACGTGGTGACAACACACACACAAGCACACACACACATACACGCGCGCGCACACACAGGCACGCGCACGCATACGCACACATACACACACACGCCCCCCCCCCCAACCAACCACACACACACACACACGCACGCACACACACACACAAACACATACACACACAACCACACGCACGCACGCACGCACGCACGCGCGCACGCACGCACGCACACGCGCACATGTACACACACACACACACGTGTTGGCGTCGCGGCCCCGCGCGCAGCGACTGGGCGTGGCAAGCTCGGAGAAGCGGGCGCGCGCTCGCACGTCTAAAGGCCGGCACACGCACGCACGCACGCACGCACGCACGCACACGCACACACACACACACACGCACTCACGCACGCAGACGCAAACGTACACGCACACGCACACGAACACGCCTACACACAAACACACAGAAACACACACACACACGCACACACACACACACACGCACTCACGCACGCAGACGCAAACGTACACGCACACGCACACGAACACGCCTACACACAAACACACAGAAACACACACACACACACACGCACACACACACACACACACGCACTCACGCACTCAAGCACACACACACACACACGCACACACACACACAAACACACACGCACGCAGGCACGCGCGCAACCATGCAAACACTTTTTGTTTACGTCGGCGGCTGGGCAGAAGGACTGCGCTGGCGGATAGGGCGTTCCGTACATACACACACATACATATATATATATATATATACGCGCGCGCACTCACTTCTTGGCGTCGCGGCCCCGCGCACTGCGACAGGGCGGATAACGTCGAATACCAGCAAACGCGCGCGCCTAGTAGCGCGCGAGCCCTCAAAGACAGAAGCATTTCCCGCATCAGCCCGCCATGAGCCATCCGGGGCGCGCACACATACATACAAACACGCACACACAAGTACACGCACACACACACACATACACTCACACGCACACGCGCACGCGCTCTTTCTGGCGTCGCGGCCCCGCGCGCGGCGATGGCCTGCAGAACATAGAATTTAGGCAAAAAGGCGCGTCACCACGCGGTCACGAACACGAACAAGCACAAACACACACACACGCACACACACACACACATACACACGCACACACACACACACACGAACGCACGAACGCACGCACGCACGCACGTACGCACGCACGCACGCACGCACACACACACACACACACACGCACACACACACACGCACGCACGCACGCACGCACGCACACTCACGCACACGCGCACGCGCACACTCACGCGCACGCGCACGCACACTCACACGCACACGCAAACTCTCTCTCTCTCACACACACACACGCACACGCACACACGCACACGCACACTTACACACACACACACACGGCGAGAGGCAAGGCGGAAAGAGCAAGACCGCAGCGAGCCTCGGTCATCCGAACTCGCGTGAGGGAGCGAGACGCGTATCCATGTTCAGGCGTTCCTCAGGACGCTCCCAGACTCCTTAGGATTTGAGGTAGGAGGGCAACAGAGGCCTTCGGCTACATCGAAAAGCAGAAAACAAATCAGGGAGGACAAGACACGCGTGCGCTCCATAGTCCGAATAGCTTCTCGACGGTGGAGAATCAAGGCGGCATGGAGTGGGGAAGCAGAAGGGAGGAGAAGAAGGAAGGATTGGCATGCGGGAAAAAAGGTCATAGTGAAGCACATGTCCCGGACCCTGGGGCCTTCCCCAGGACCAGCCTTTTATCCTGAGTAGATTTTCGACGGGCCAGGGGGGGGACGAGGAGCCCGAAAACGCAAACAAACTGCAGGACCTAATTCGTCCAATTAAAGCCTCGAGGCCGCCTAGCCGGGGCTGGTGTAGACGGGCTCGGAGGAACGCACCGCATCGCCGACGCATCGGCGATGCATCCGCGACGTCGGGATCGAGGAAGACGGGCTCCGTGTCGCGCCGCATCGCCGATGCATCGGCGACGCGGCGCGATCCTCTGAGATTCGACGTCGCAAAGAAAATGCAATATCGCAACAAATCACGACCAGAGCTCCAGACTCCAACATTCTGCAACATTTTTCGAGCCAGATCAATCTGTGAGGGTCACGGGGCCCGAAGTCGAGCGAAAATGCCCGGTTGTGGAAAACATGCAACGCCAGGTTCTCGTGGGGATCCTCTGACCCCGCCTGCTCCAGCCTCGTGTGGGCGACCTTGATTTTTTTTCTCGAGGATAAGAGCACGCAGGCGGCCGCCGTCGGCGGGCGGCCTGCATGCGCTTGCGGAGGTGCCGCACCGCGATGTCCCTCACCCGCCCGACGTCCTGGCCCGCCCCCCACGGGGCGGACGAGAAGGATCACGAGCGGTGATCGTATCGCATACGCACCCTCTCGGTCTGGATTCCGGGGCGCGATCCCGCGGATACGCGGTCGCACGGATACCGCCCGCGCGATACAGTCGCGAAACAACGCTCCACATTCCGCGGGATCGCGGCGCATGGGCCCTGTCCGCGAGGCCGCGGATACGGACATGTTTTTCGCCCACGAGGGGAATCATAGCAAACAGGGAGATAGAGAATCGGCTGCATGCGCAGGCCTTTCCAGGCGCCCCCCGGCGCTAGAGGCGCCCACGTATCGACGCTTCGCGGCGGGGCCGCAAATTGCTACACATGTCGTACCCCCCCGCCCCCGTGCGTCCGCCCGCCGTGGTTGTCACCCAAACACAACAAACGTACACACACCGCCGATCGCGATGTAGGTGTCGCCGCGAAATCGGCTGGGTTGTTACAGCGCGGCCAGTGGGCCGGCTGGCGCAAGGAGCCGACGACGACGACGACGCCGACGCCGACGCCTACGACGCCTACGACGACGACGACGACGACGACATGGCCGACGACGCCACCGACGCACCCCACAACGGCCAGGGGGCGGGCGGCCAGGGGAGAAACCAAATTGAAAATCATGATTTTGGTAACTGTTTGGACCTGTTCAAACTCTTTCGTCGCAACGGCCGGATCGGCCTCGAGATTCTGGTCGGAACGCACACCGAGGCCCAATGCGGGAAGGGATCTGTGACCCCACGGGCCTTGAAATATCACATCCGGTGTCGCGAAAAATCGCAACAGCCGTTATTATTCAACATGTGTTCCTGTCCTCTGGAAATCCGTATCAGGTCCCAGGACCGTCAACAAACGACCAAGGATGCAAACTGGCCTCATGACACTTGGCACCCCCCGCGCGATGATGAAGGAGGAGGGAGGGGAGGAATAGAAAAAAGAAGTGGAAGGCTTAGGAAGAACGGATTAAACGTAATACGAAGTGGATTAGTAAGAGGCATTGGGAAAGCAGAAGGATCATATATGTGATGAAGGATGATGACCAGGAGGAGGAGGAGGCGGAGGAGGAGGAGGAGGAGAAGGGAATGAAGGACTGCCTTCCAACCGCCAGCCCACAGAGACGAAGTCGCGGAGCGACTCACCAGCCTGACAATCTTGCTCGCCCGGGGCCAGGCCTCCCTCGCCACGGCAGAGTTTTCCGCTGGCGCCTCCCTCGCGGCCATCCCGAAAAAAGACGGCGGACTCCCAGTGATTTGCCCCTCGTGTGCGATGCAACTCCCGAAGATGACTGACGTGCCCCGCCGATCGACCGCTCCATCGGCCCGCTGACGTACGTAACAGTACAGAGGCGGCGTCCCTGGGAGCTCACGCAACGGGGGGCAAGGCAAACGGGGGTCAGACAATCCCCTTCGAGATCCTCTGGCTGACCCGGGTTTGACAGCCACCTGGTGCCGACCCCGCTCCCCCGGCCTCCGCTGACCAAGGTCTGGGAGCTACTTCGTGGCCAACCCAAGCTCCGCGACAGGACAGGGCCCTGGCCGAACGAGGGTTTGCGCCGACCGTGCGACCCCGAGTCCCCGAGTCCCCTTCAAGGAGCCCTGGCCAAGCCTCGTGGAACTTCGTGACCGACTCGCCGTGCCTGGTGCCCCTCTCGGACCTCTGCCCGGGGGGAGGGGGAGCGACCGTCGCGGTCCACCGCGTCTCGAGTTTCTGGGGGTTGTCGCCGTCGCCGTCGCCGTCGCCGACATTGTCTGAGCATCGCACGGATCCCCATCCCCACTGGCAGGATCTCGGTCCCACTGACCGACCTACTCTCTGGATGGAGATACGTACTGTTCCCTTCAGGCTTCGCGTGACCTGTCCCAACCTGGGCGGGTGACCTGGTGGGGTTAAGACTCTATGGCCCAATCGAGGTGGAGATAGGTTCGGCAATACTCAAATACTAAGGGAGGAGCGAATGTGTGGGGGCGGACAGTTGGGAATGACGGAGGTAGCGAAGGGAGGAGGGGCAGTGGGCGGTGTGGGGATGTGGACACACGAGGGCGTGAGGGTGTGACACGGGAGGCAGCGATGGGCGCGCTCGGCCGAGCAGCCCTGGCAACACGAAACTCCACGGACACGCGGAAGGCAGGCAGGGCGACACAGAAGGCGAGCTCCGCGCGCCCTGGCAAGAGCGCGTTCGAGGTGGGAGAGGAAACTCCCTCCTCCCTCCTCCCTCCTCCCTCCTCCCTCCTCCCTCCTCCTCCTCCTCCTCCTCCTCCTCCTCCTCAGTTTCCTCCTGCTCCTTCTCATCCTCCTTTTCCACCTCGGCGTTTCCTGACACCCGCAAGACGGTTGGAGCCTATAGGAGCCGACCTAGGAACCGAAGGTGGGGGAGGGAGGGCGAATCCGGAGAGAGAGGCGGGGGTGGAGCATCATCACGTGGTTGGAGAGCGCAGCAAGTTAGCTCCGTGCAGGCCCTGCATCCCTCTCTTGGGACTGGGCTTCTGTGATTATGGCTGCTTCCGCGGCAAGGAAGTCCTTAAACCTCAGAGGGGGGTTCAGGAATTAGAGGGGGACAGGAAAAAGGACTTCGGGTGCTTCCCCGCGCAAGAGGAGACGCCACTACGTGTTGAGCTCGCGCACATTCGATTCGCTGTATTTTCCGCTGCCAGCACACATCACCACAACATTCACACTCTACTTCTGACGGGCAACAAGAAGCTTGTGGCCCTTGGGGCCCGAGGATAGCTGAGATAACTGTAAATAATAGCTCCTGCAAGCCTCATCCTGGCGAGACGCATCAATTCTGTCAGAGAATCTAGCCTTACAGACGGTAAACAGCCATTTCTGGGACCTGTCGTTCCACTCCCAGGACTGGAGGATTCTCTGGGGCCGAGGGGCAGAAGGAACTGGCTGAGGAGGAGCCTCGTCAATCCAAACCACACAGGCGCTGCTGGCTCCTGCCGCCATGGGCTGGGCAACAGTTTTGCCCCGCGAGGCGACAGCCTTTTTGCGGGTCCCAGGTCCCACAGGCTCCCACCTTCCTGAAGCTTTGGCAACCTACCTGAACCACTTCGCCAAACTAGTTCTGGCGCTGATAGTTTATTTCTCATTCGCTGGCCGGGGGGTGCTGCAACATCATAGCTCCTAGCATCGCGAACTTGTCCGCAAAACCGTGTCCAGTGGCATCTAGCCACTCGTTCGAGTAATTGTGTATGGGGTTGAAGTACAAGAGTACAGAACCCCTGATCCGTTGGTAGAGAGATGGAGGGATAGATGGATATCTTTCCCTCCCAAGCGATCAAGGTACGATCGCTCCAACTCAGTACCTGAGCCCAAACGGCCAGGTGCGGGAGAGGTAAGGATAAGGAGTATATACGAGGGTATTACACGGGTTCCACACACACACCCCGTCCCGAATCCCGCCCTTGAAGGCAGGACTCGGGATCAGGAGGATGGAATCCGTAACCTCAGAACTCCTTTACCTTAAGTCTGAAAAGGCAGCTGGGCTGAAAGTCAGCGAAGCCACAGCTGCAAAGTGAGGTAAGAAGAGATACCTTGAGTCTCTTTTTCTTCTCCAGGCGGTCTTTGCCGCCCCCTCGGTGCGCCCCCCCAAAACGCTTCGGCACTCGAGGGAGGAGAAGAATGAGACAAAGGTAGGCGGAGAAAGAAGATCTGAGCACCAAGGCAACGCAAACCGCCTCGCAAGATTTGCGAGGCAGGTGTTGCCACCAGCTATCAGATTATTCTCGACGCAATATTGTTAAATTGTTAAAGTATGCATGCTAAGATCGCGTTGACGAACGCAATCTTGAAATCAAACACAAGTCTGCCTAAAAGCAAATGTATGCCAAGATCGCGTTGACGAACACGATCCTGAAAGAAATGCAAATCTGCGTTAAAGCAAGTACCTGGCCAGGAGAAAATGTCGTGTTGATGAGCACGAAAATGATGTATAAAATCCGTTTGGCGACTCCCGTTGGCGCTGCTCCTTAGGAGGCTGCCTCGGTGATCGCAAAAGATATCTATATGTGTGTATGGCCACTTGTGTGAAAGATTGAAGTGGCCTTAAGAATGTATTAGCCACCGCTCAAGGCGAACTTTGATGAACGGAAGTTCTGCTCTGGAGCAGTGGGCCTTGCGGCCGACTCACTACGCGTCGCCGTCCTTGTAGAACCTGCGGTCCCACACCCTCTGGCCGTTGTACGTCGCATAGCTTGTCGTAAACGTTTCCCAAGTGGTCCTCGGGATCCAGTTGCGGAACCAATCGTTGTACGTGATATCCTGGATGTACACATACTCGTCGTTGTTGATCGCAATGTAGATCCAACATTTGATGTAATAACTCCAATATCGAAGACCCCAATCGCTGTCCTCGAGATTGTGGCGCCAGTAAGCAGCGTAATCAGATGTACGTGCTCTCATGGCGCGCGGCATCGCGGGCATGTAGTCCTCTGCGCCTGAGGCGCTGGATGCAGCGGCGTCGCCAGGAGCAGGGCGCGGCGGCGGCCGCGGCGGCGGCCGCGGCTCCATGGCGTCATCGGACTGTTGGGAGTGTGTATCTGGATCGGTTCTCATCCCTGTACTACCCCCCCTCTGGTCAGTGTGTGACGGATCGAGGGAGCCTATCAGCTCGTTGGCAATCGCGGCAAGCTTGCGCTGGGTGAACTGTTCACGGGTTCCGTCCCCTCGAGGGAGAGAAACCGTAATCAGTCCGCGCGCCTGCCGCGTCTGCCTGTCAATGCGTCCCTCGTTCAGCCACCACTTTCTCCGACCAGCCTGTCCTGTCCTAATACTGACGTCAAGGATGTCCCACGCGTCGCGCATGTCCTCGACTCTCCAGGGCTTCTTGCCGACATTCACGCGGGCTCCTGTCATCTGATGATGGAATCTGAGGTCGTTGAGAAAGCGTTGAATGAGATTGGCGCATGGGTAGTACAGAGGTCGGTCGTCCTCGGATTCGCCCATTAATCTGCATTCGTGTGCAGGCGGGCTACCGGCTTCGACCCACTTCTGATACCTCTTCTTGGACGTATTGGCCAATCTCCGCAACTGATCTTTCTCTGTGCCTATGGGGGATCGCGCACCCGTCATAATGACATGTGCGCCATCCTTCATGTATCTCGCGACCTGGTCCTCGGACAACGTCGTCTTGATCCAGTTCGTCAACTTCTGGAGGTACGCGAGGTCACTCTGTGTGGCGGTGCTCTTACCTGTGGCGCCTACGGCCACAGTGTATTGCCAACATATATCACAGAGTGCGCCGTCACCTGTGACGATACCGAGGGACAGATCTCGACCGCAATTGTTACAGAGCGGCATGGGATGCAAGATCGTCTCGGGGGCCCCTGCCGAAGTCAGGTGATCGCGGGATCCCCAGCGGGTGTCCTGACCGCGAGCGAGGCTCTGACCGATCTGATTGATCGCCTCACGATTGATCTCGGTGTTTGGTCTGGAAGCGATCGATCTGCTTAAACCCTCGATCTCGATCCGAGACAACCTTTCCCCTGGCAGTCCTTTGTACTCTATCTTGACGTTGTCGGTATCCTCAGTACCGCCATGGCATACGTTCTCCTCACGAAGACGGCGAGCCTGCTTCTGCAAGGTAGCCTCGTTGTCGCCCTCCTCGCGCTTGAGTCCCGTCTGTTCAGCTATGATGCGTACCATAGTCTCCTGATCGGGAGCTGCAGACGCAACACTGCCTGGGTCCTGGGGAATATCCTGCTCAGCGCCCTCCTCTCGAGGCGCAGCAGGTGTTTCCACCAGCTCTTCCCACACAGGAAACTCTGGATCACCGTATGTCGCAGTACAATTTTTGTATAGGTCACGCAATGCCTGAAGTGCAGGATGGTTGTCATGGATGACTTCCTTGGCGAAATCTGGTAGCTCCACAATACTATCTTTCAAGATGTTCTGGTATACTTTGGAAATCCATTGAAAGATGCCAGTGGTCGACTCCTCGATAGTCTCCGGGTCGAGGTAGTGTACCAACTTTTTGAAGAAGTGATCTGCACCACAATTGGGTAAGTCATGTGCCCACTTGTGGGTATGATTGTAGTTCAAATGATATGACTCCGCGTTCCATGCTTTCGATCCAAATCGAATTTCAAATTGTAAATGTGACTGAATTTTGTCCATTACGATTCTGTCTGCGCCACTGTGTATCTCAATGATCTGCCTCATCTTGATCATAGGCGAATCCACCAATAGCGCCGATGTCCAACAATACACGCGGCAATCATCAGACTGTCTAATCCATCTTGAATCCTCGTCGGGGTCGTAGTCTGGATGATCAAGGAAATTCGATGGCGGATCAATGATGTTATCGAGGATGCTTGCCTCGATCTGCTCTTCTGCTTGGATGTCTGCCGAGAGGTCTGCCCTCATGTTGTCGTTCGCAGCTTTCTCATCTGCAGTAAGAACGATATTTGATATGTCCACGATTACGGTGATCAGTGGATCATGCGATGATGCTGTACCCTGTCGAGGAATGTCGCCCGTCTGAGCGTTGTCCTCGGCAGGTGTGGCCACCAGCTCGTCTGGATCAGGTGTCCGTGGAGCGGGCCTTCTTGGTGGTGTACGCGGAATACGTGGTCTATGGATGCTAGGCATTCCAAGGTATGGTAAGCTGCCGCTAACCTTGTGCTGCAGTATGTCCTCGCTGCAAGATGTCGG